TTGAGCATAAGTAGAAGATGTAGCTCGTACTCATCTTTGGCTTGCAATGCCTCTGCTGTCTTCTCAGCAGCATATTCAACACATTTGCTACTTCACTTTCATCCAGTACCTCATATACAAATTGTGGGCCTAGGGGAACAGATCCGAGAGATTGCAGAAGCAAGGTCAGCTTTTAGTTTTGCATTCTCAACTTCCATCTTGCTGGTTCCAGCTATCTCTATTAATTCAGAGGCTGCTAGGATATCATCAAAATTGTCTTTGTCAAAAGTGTCTATACCTATCTCCTCAGGCTCAGCGGAGAGCGAGCTATCACTAGATATGGTCAGTGAACTCCTTGAGGATGCAACCTTCGAATGTAACCCAACTAGAAACTCAGGAGCATATCGATCAACGTCTGCGATTTCAATATTGAGCAGACTAGTATCATACGGAGCAACATTGACATCACACTGAGTGGGAGTATCATATAAACCCATTGAAGCCAACACGTCTCGAGGTACGAAGGGACCATGTGTTTTAAGAAACTCCTCACGTTTCCTGACCTCTGTTTCCCTCTTCATAGCAAGCTTCTCTGCCAATTGCCCAGCCATGCCCATGTAAAGCTTCATAGAGGCTTTTCTTCTCACCACCTCTGCAAGACAGGCCCTATAAGCGGGGCCAACACCACGGACTAACTTCAAGTCTGCAAATAAGTCATCCTGGCGAACCATTGCCTCTCTAAAAACGGGAAACTGTAACTTAGCATCTTTGATGATATATGTGACGTATGTTATCTTTTGCATGTAACTGTGCACAAAGTTGTTCATCTCATTCTTCTTGCTCTTGCAGAAATCCAGCAATTCTGAAATCGAGTTATAGCAAGCTTGCATTTTGGGAAGGTGATTCTTGTCATGCACTTCGTACATAGGACCCAGGGCTGAAACAGCATCGTGGGGACGAAGAGATGAGGACAATTGGCTAGACATGCAATCATCCACAAGTTTCTTAACCGTATTGACATCTTTGCTGTTTCAAGATTTATAAAACACCGTCAGATAACAGAAATTTTCATTGTGTAAGAAGTAAAAATTTCATCAATTGAATTGACCGCTAAACAACATTAAATATCAAACAGAGACAAATGAAAAGGTGTTCCCAGCTAACGAAATGAACAAACCTGAGAGACTGCATTATGCTCTTTTCCTCATCAATGAACCGTTCGTGATCCTTAACAGTCACTTCTAAGTTCTTCATTGATAAGGAAGCTCTGCAGGCAAACAACTCTTCTACCTTGCGCTTGACCTCGACAAACATCTGCTGGAACTGTGCAATCTTATTCTCAAATTGCCTGTGAGAGCTTGCACAATTCTCCACAGCCTTTTTTAGGTTATCTTCCTTGACAAAGTCCAATAAGCATTTCCTTGAATCAGTTTGAAGATAAGGGTGAATCTTGGCTGACCTCAATTTCTCAATATCCCTTCCGAAATTCATCAGCAAATCAGAGTGGAGGCGGTGTTGATGCTTATAACGCTTCATAAATTCAAGAAAGTTCTGATAGATCACCCTGTAATACTGTTCCAGATTCCGCGTAGCAACTTCAACAGCCCGCTGTTGTACCTTTTGCTCTCTCGTCAACCTCTCGCAGTTCTCATGCTTCACAACCGTACAATTGTAGATGGTGCGGCCTTTATGGAAATGGTAACGAAATTGCCTTTCATACAAAGGTAAAGCCTTTAAAGCTGGATCGGATGCATCATCCAAGGGATGATGTTCATGTAATGAAGCAGGTGGTAAAGCGTCAGCAACGTCTTGTAAATCTACATCTTCCGGTGATGGCGGGTGAGAGTTACTTTGCAGCATAGCCTTGTTGAAAATAAAGACTTCCCTGTCACTTGCAGGAAGTCCAAAAGCAGAAAGCAGCTTTTGTGGCTCAAGCTTCATATCAAGCGAGAGAAGAAGCTGATCAGATAAGCCAATACCAGAAACAGATTCAACGAAACGCATCACAGATTCAACTGAAGTAGTCTCGCTGCATTGAAATTCAAACGAGTGGCCATTCTCAGCCACACAAAGAAGAAGCTTGCCATCATCGGCGAAACTCTCAGTGAAGCTTCCGCTCATCGTACCCACCCAAAGGACCCAAAACTCCTCAACCGCAGAATCCCCTTAGCCCACAGCCAAATTAAGAAAGGTGACTCACCTAATCAAAATTAGGAACGAAAATAGGTAAAGGCTGCCAAAATCAAAAGCCCTCCAACACAAAATCCAACCACGAATCTGTAAAAGAGCAGAGCTTTTCTATATCCTCGATCCTTGACCAAAATCCAGATTCACCAAAAACCCTCGTCGAATCTCCGAGCTTTTGATATGTTTCACAAAAGACCTTTAAACCCCAAGTGTCAAGACCTGATCACGACCAGGATACACACAAATTCAGAATCCAGCGTTAGCTAATGTTATCCCAAAGTACCCACCACGAAATTTAAGCGAAATTCACCAAATCAAATATTCTACCAAATCAATATCCCCCTTCTTTCGCCTTCGTCGTACCCAGAAGAATTTATCCTCTCTTTTTCTTTTTCTTTTCTATTTAAAAGGAACAAACAAAATTAAGCTAACCCTAGAAGACGCAAAAGCAGACGTGATACGACAAAGTAACGCGATTGCGTGAAGAGACGAGTGTCAAAGTCGAAGAATTTTTATCCGAAGCCGCAACAAAAAGGATCAAACTTCTCTTCACGAAAACCTCTTTCACCACTATACTTAAACAATTAATATTCTCAATTTTCTTCTTCTTCTTCTTCTTCCTCTTCCACTTCGCTTCTACAACGAATTTTCTTTTTTTTTTTCTAATAAATTTTTGACCTTTTCATTAATGGAAAGTTACGAAGAAGCTTCTGATGTAAGTTTACTCTCTCACGCAAACACCAGAGTCGAAGAACCCTTTCGCTCTTCTCCCTCTGTTGAAGACAAGACAAGATAAAAAGCCTGCTTTTTTATAAAAGGTAATTTATTTTTATGGGGCACAGTAATTCTATAAGTATTTCGGTTTCACCCCAATAGTTTTGTAAATGGTTAATTTATCCCTACCAGATTTAGAATCTAATCAACCGTGTTACATTTGGTTCGGTTTACTTACTTTGAGCTAACGGTATCAACAACATGAATCCCAAACATAAAATCACATACGAAATTGATATTTAGAAGGAAAAAAAAATCAACAAGCAATAAACAAAAACAAGACTTAAAGAACACACAAAAATACCAACATAAAAGAAACACAAATTTATCTTTTTTGGCCATATACACAAACTCCTTGAATACACAAAAAAAAAAGTTCATTACAATAAAATGATAGAGCCAACAAGTTACTTTCATTTCTTTTGATACCAAAACTTATAACCAACCTCCAACACCAACATAACTATTAATCTTGTTATTTCCTAGATTTGAACCATTGTGGCCATATAACTGAAGTCAGTATTCATTGTTCCAGATAACGTATGATATGATAATAATATGTATAAACTGGTGGAAACATGTGTATATAAAGTAAATTCAGCATTTCCTATCAAATGATAAGCTTGATTGGCATGTGATGTGGATTGGACCACATACACACACACACAAAATGTTTATAGGCCATAGGCGGTCCATTATTATTGGAAGAAATGATTAAATTAAGTATGCAAACAACTTGACATTGAAAATGATCTTCCGAAAGTGATATTTCAATGTTTCTACACAATTTTTGCCGTAAAATGGTTGCATTTTATAAGGAAAATCTTTTAGATAAAAAGTGAGTTTGGATTTAATTGTTACTAAATAGAAGAAAGATACTAAATTGAATTATTTTTTTTAATCTCTTTCTTAGTTATGTTTTCTAATTCCACCCAAATACATTTAGATATATATATATATATATATATATATATATATATATATATATTCTGTGTATTCTTCTGAATATACTACGATTAGGACCCTTTGTTTTTGTAAGAATAACTGTCTTTTGCTTTAATTTTATATTTTCGAGATTCAAAATGAATATACTATAGATTCACAATGTTGCTCTATAGATGTGTTAGAGTTATCTACGACGCCAGTAAGATACAAGAAGACCACATTTTGATTGTAATTGTATATATGAATATATGTGGACAAAAAGGTAACACTTCACATAATTCCAAAGGCTACGTAACATCAGATTGGTTGAGCTTCCACATGGGAATTCTGCAAATCTGTAATCTTCTGTATATGCCAAATATGTAATTCTTAGATATAGAAAAATGGTCATCTATTCGGGTTATAATACTTGTAAATGGTCCTCAAGGCCTCACTTAAGGTTACAACCCACATCTCCTAAAGCAATGGTTAGTCAATCTTTTTCATGTTTTTTCTAAGAAAATTTGAAGATTTATAAACAAATAGCAAAGTAAAAGTATAACCAAAGATGCATGCGCCAAAATTTAGGATGGTTAGTATGTAGCTATATATATAGGATCTGAAGAACAATCGGAAACAAGATGTGCTGCCACATGAAACAAACATACTAATATATGATTATATTGACATGACTTAAAGAGAATCTCGTGAGATTCGTTTTTGACAACTTTTAGCTTTGGATCCGGAATCAAACATAGCCCTCTCGTAACCCCACCCAAAGGAGAACATGGATTCCACAAACTCTTCACACTTTATATTATATATATATATAGTACTTGTGATTTTAATATATGTCAAAATATATCAATGATATTAGGTATTTGATATATAACAATAACAATAATGATAATAGTCAAGAGTTTAATACATTAATTTGATTTCAACTATATATTCAGTGGAATTTGTAAAGGTGTCTTTGTCTTATCTATAAGGCTTTAAGTGTTTCATGGAATATTTAATTATATCTTAAAACTATCATAAATAAACTAATATTATTCATACAATTTCTATCTGTAATTTAATTGACTAGTGCTCTAAATAAATGATTAGAATCTTCTGCCTTACAAAAAAATGTTTGTTCACTCTTATAATCTTGCCTCGATTACTAGTTTATAGGAAGGAAGGAATATATAATTAAACTCAGATCACCAAGAAAGTTCATAATTAATTCAAGAAACAAAAAAAAAGAAACATAAATCATGTGCCAGTAAGGCACTAATAAGAACGTTAACGTTGATTATTACGAGTAGGTTCGCATGCATGTACGAAATACGCAACTAAGCAATTGATGGAAACGAAATCCACACTTATCCGTGCTAGCCTCTAGGCAGCTCGAAGCAGCCCCGGCTCAATATATTTGAGAGCCTTAGGACAAAAAAATTTTTTTTGGCCTATTATTATATATAAAGAGAAAATTTACTTAATTTTTAAAAATTTTGCGGAGTTTTTATAGTAAAAATTGTTATTTTAAAAATTTTGGGCCTTTTTATATATTTTCTTATAAATAATTAGGCCTCTTAAAATATAATTCTCATATTAATAATATTTTAAAAAAATATTTGGGCCTTTTTATATGTAAAATTTTTTTATATAAAAAAAGCCCCGGGCCGTCGCACTTCCGCCCTACCCATCTGAGCCGGGGCTGGCTCGAAGGCTTGAGATTTAACTTTCAACGACTTGGTATCCGACTTTACTTTCAGACAATATATTATCCTATGAAACTCACTCTTACATGCGATAAATGGATGAATAATTCTTGCTTAACTTTGAGTATATACTTTGTTTGTAACAACTGATGACAACCCATCTTTAAGTCTCCTTTTCATTGTAATAGTGTCAAAACGTCATATATATTACTTTGTGGATTATACTTTTTTAATCATGATCTCTCAGTTGATAACGAAATCCTTTCCTTTTCTCTGAATTTTGATGATTAATGGTTTCAGAAAATTAAGAATTTGTTCACATTATCTAACTCTGAGAGTACTGTCCTAGTGTTTGCCAATAAGTGGTTGAATATGTGGTAAAGTATAAAAGCTCCATCATGTTGGACCTACTAGCTTAGCTATAAAATAAATGTCCTGTCATCACATAAAGGTACCATTTTTTGAATTTGTTTTACGTGCCCATCAATGATATGTGTTTAACACACACTAGTAATATATTTTTCGATTAAGTTGAAGTGCCTTGATTTTCTAAGTGGATAAAGTCACTATATATGCCAAATGATCCTTTAAGGGGACTAGAAAACCAATTAAATTTAAATCAAGCATTTCGATTCGCATTCATAGATATACAGTATACTATATATTCACCGGTCCAGTTTGGTTAGAAACCAAAATGATTTATTTTATCTTTGGGTCAGCTTTCTGACACTGTTTTGGTTTGGTTCGTATCGGTTCAACCGGATTGCGCAATGTTGTTAATATTTCCTTTTTTTAATACACATGCCAAGGGAATTTGAAGTCCTTATTTAAGAAGCCCAAAACAAGTAGAGCCCATATATATATATATATATGGATATGCTAACAAAGCCGTGAAGCGTGCGTCAGGAGATTTCAAGGTTTAGGGTGTCCGCAATTTAGCCATGGCGGAGCAGGTTTCGATCCACATACATTGTCTTTAGTACTATATATGTTACAATTGGGGATTGCTAATTATCCTTTGTTAGATTCTCGTTTTCTGATTCCTTTGAGTTCGGGTTTTAATGTTGGATTGGTGTGTTTGCAGACGGAGAAGGCGTTTCTTAAGCAACCAAAAGTTTTCTTAAGGTAAATGTCACATCTCACAAATTTAATTGCTGTGTATTTTGTCACTTCTTATGCTTATGATTCAAATGTTTTTATCAGCTCAAAGAAATCTGGTAAGGAAAAGAGGCCTGGTAAAGGAGGTAATCGTTTCTGGAAGAACATTGGCCTTGGTTTCAAAACTCCTAGAGAGGCTATTGAAGGTACTATTTTTATGTGAATTTTGCTATAACCATGTCTAGAAGGAGATTCATTTTTTAAAAAGTTGGATTCTTTAGAGAACTAGTCCCATTGATCTAAGACTTGGGTTAGTGAAATTTTCCCAAATTTAGGGGCTAAATTGTTTGACATATCTATGTGTTTCTTGGTTTTATTTGCAGGAGCATACGTTGACAAGAAATGTCCCTTTACTGGTACGGTTTCAATCAGAGGCCGCATCTTGGCAGGCACTTGTCACAGTGCAAAGATGCAGAGGACGATCATTGTTCGTAGGGACTATCTTCACTTTGTGAAGAAGTATCAAAGGTAAAAGGATCCATCTTGTTGTTGTGTTCAAATTATCTCAGCTTATTTGAAACTCTCCAGCTAATGCTTAATCTTACCATTGTGGACTGTTCCCAGATATGAGAAAAGACACTCAAACATTCCTGCTCATGTTTCCCCGTGCTTCCGTGTCAAAGAAGGAGATCATGTGACCATTGGGCAATGCAGGTTAGGGGCAGTAATATCTATACTTGGTTTCGCTAATGCCTGAACTTTGATTCCATCCTTATTTATCACGCAAGTTTCTAAACTTATCAAGTTAATGATTCAGGCCACTGTCAAAGACGGTGAGGTTCAACGTCTTGAAGGTCATTCCGGCTGGAAGCTCTTCTATTGGGAAGAAAGCATTCACTGGAATGTAAATGAGATTCAGATCTGTTGGAAAAAGGTGCTAGCTATTCTAAGGGCTTAGAATTTTTCTACTAGAGTTATGACTTGCTTTATTTGATCAAAGGAAACCGGATTTTCTCTGTTTCATTTAGTGTTAGTTGCAAGTGTGTCTCAAAAGCCTCGTCTTTTTTTTATAGTAGGACAATTCATGTATTAAAGAGGAAGTGATTCAAGTATCAAGATAAGTCTATTAGTGGTGATAATTTTTCTTGAAAATGTTTGGAGTAGAGTTGGTTTCGATGAAAAGTGGGATTAGGCTTTTGCTATCTTGATATTTCTTGCTCTAATGTTCCATTATATTACTAATTTCTGAAAATGATAATTAAGAGAAAAACAAAACAGAAATTGCATAACTCGAGGGAATGCTATGAACGTGCAGCCTCATTTGACGCCATACTTTTATGTAAAAGCTCCGATCACGTTGGACCACCCCTCAAGCTTTATTAAGTCATCTTCACAATCAGAGAGAAGTGCTTAAATCAAGGCAAAAAATTAGTCAAATTAAAACGACACGAAAGGTTCCTCATGTATACTAATTAAAAAAATATGACCCCGTATTTCACATGGTATACATTACTTTTCTGGTAAACTAAATAATAATATCCGTTGAGAAAATGTGATGTTGCTTGGTAACAACAACAGCTCAATTCTCGAAAACACGTGAAACCTGGCACTTGCTTCTGTTTCACATTTTGCTTCTGTTTCACATTTGCATACAGTTTCTACCACTCACACGCAACCATCTCCAAACGCAGGGCCGCGTTTATACGCGTTTGCGTTACCAAAGACAGCGATTGACAAACAAACACACACACCAATACCAAAGTTTTAGATAAGGTGTTCGTAATCATTGAAACCTGTGTTTGGATTTTGCATCAAACAGAAATCTAACCAAACACGATCTTGAGGTGTGTCACGGTTCGACCAACCGCATTGAGAAGAGGCATGTTGTTAGTTGAGGACCACGCACGATGAGTGAAATAAAAAGAAAGTCCGAATCTTTTGGGTTCGTTGATTAGTTTGTGACGTCATCACGCACATGCTCATTCTAATCTTTAAATGCTTAAAGGATCTTCTTCATTGTACTTTGAAGTTAGTCAACATAGCAACAACAATCAATGGCTAAAACCAGAGGGTCTTGTTGTCTCGTCAACGCTCTCATCGCTATCGCTTTTTTGGCGACAGCCCATTTGTGTGAAGCTGGCTTGTCTCAGAAAGAACAGGACAAGGTCTCGAAATTGCCTGGTCAGAATTTCAATGTTAGTTTTGCTCACTACTCTGGGTTTGTTACTACTAATGAGAAATTGGGAAGAGCTCTCTTTTACTGGCTCTTTGAAGCCGTCGAAGATGCTAAGTCTAAGCCTCTTGTTCTCTGGCTCAATGGAGGTTTGTTAGACAAAATTTCAATCCCTAAGATTTCTCCATTTTGTAATTTCATTCGAAAGTCCTCTCATTTTCAGCTTAATTAATAGTGCCTCAATGGATTTAACTCATATACTCTGTTTCGAACACTATGAGCTACTGTCATATGATATGGATCTTGAATTTTACTTCTGAGGATTGTCTGGTTGATTACTTTAGCTTGGATTTGATTACCTATTGCTTGTTTCTGATTTTGTTGTTGCTTTTAGCATTGATAAACGTGGTTTTTTTACTTGATTCCTAAAATGGAATCTTTTCTAGGATTTATTCAATTCTTTTCTTACTATCTAAAGTATTAATGGATCTCCATAGCAATGTGGTATGGATTAGTCTGCGTCTAAGATGGAGTGAGTTTTTTACTTTTTCTCTCTATAGGACCAGGATGTTCATCTGTTGCATTTGGTGAAGCAGAAGAGATAGGGCCATTTCACATTAAGGCAGATGGGAAGACTCTTTACCTTAATCAATATTCTTGGAACCAAGGTAATGAAATAATATGTGCTGTGTATGTTGGCGAGAGAGCTATGATTCAAAAAAGCTTAAAACTTTTGTGCAACATTTTTGTTTGCAGCTGCAAATATTTTGTTCCTTGATGCACCTGTTGGAGTTGGTTATTCTTACTCAAACACCTCTTCTGATTTGAAGACCAATGGTGATAAAAGAACTGGTAATGATTTAGCTGTTTATGTTCGTAGATTTTTAGATCCTCATGTTGGTGGGTGGATTTAAAGTTGCAGTGTTATGAAATTCACAGCCGAAGACTCACTGAAATTTCTGCTGAAATGGGTTGAGCGGTTTCCGGAGTACAAAGGAAGGGACTTTTATATAGTAGGGGAGAGCTATGCAGGTAAATTAAAAGCTCATCTCATTTTTTAGTCATTTCATTTGGTCCATAAATCCTTATGTGTTTCTTCTGGTTTGTTTTAGGACATTACATTCCTCAGCTGAGTGAAGCCATTGTAAAACATAACCAAGGTTCTGACAAAAATAGTATTAATCTGAAGGGTTACATGGTGAGCCTGTCCTCTTATCGATCCCTGTATGATTCATTTTCTAAAAGGTTATAAAACTCTAAAACAATTTTGATGAATGTGTGGATGCAGGTAGGAAATGGGCTGATGGACGATTTCCATGACAGGCTTGGTCTTTTCCAATATATTTGGTCGTTGGGTTTTATCTCTGACCAAACATACAGCTTACTGCAACTCCAATGTGGTTTTGAATCGTTTATTCACTCCTCCAAACCGTGTAATAAGATTTTGGAGATAGCGGACAAAGAAATCGGTAACATAGACCAATATAGTGTCTTCACCCCAGCCTGTGTTGCAAATGCTTCCCAGTCAAATATGTTGCTAAAGAAAAGACCAGTAAGTGGCCTTAAATATTCTTTTTTTCAATGTTACACTCTTTAGTGTCCTTAAATTCTCTGTTTGCTTTGCTTAGATGACTAGCCGCGTGAGCGAACAGTATGATCCTTGTACGGAGAAACACACTACAGTTTATTTTAATCTTCCAGAGGTTCAAAAAGCCCTCCACGTCCCAGCAGGACTTGCACCATCCAAATGGGATACTTGCAGGTAAATTTACTTTAGAACTCGATATAGGAGGAAATGAGACTAGAAAAGCTTGCAGTTTTGTAACAATTCTGATCCGGACAGATGTGGTTTTGCAGTGATGTCGTGAATGAACACTGGAATGACTCTCCTTCCTCGGTTCTAAACATTTACCACGAGCTTATAGCTGCTGGGCTTCGTATCTGGGTTTTCAGGTCTCTATTGCTATTTATATCCACCCGAAAACACTTAAGCCATATCTTTTCTTCAAGTTTTTTTGGTGAATTAGAAAGTTTTGTTCTTTGGTAACAGTGGGGACGCAGATGCTGTTGTACCAGTCACATCAACCCGGTACAGTATCGATGCACTAAACCTTCGTCCTTTGAGTGTCTATGGTCCTTGGTACTTAGATGGACAGGTAAAAACAAACTCAACTGAGAAAATGAGAATCCTTTTCTTATGTTAAATGAAAACCTTTTAAACGGTCATGATTTGAAACAGGTGGGAGGCTGGAGTCAGCAGTATGCTGGTCTGAACTTTGTGACGGTGAGAGGTGCAGGCCATGAAGTTCCTTTGCACAGACCAAAGCAAGCTTTTGCACTCTTCAAGGCATTTATATCTGGAACTCCATTGTCCACACCTGAGAAAAACATCAGCCGCGACATGTCTGAACTCGTTAGTGACTCATAATGAGTTCTGATTTGATGTAATATGTAATTTGGATTCTCAATCAAAAACTTTCCACAGAGGGCACTGTAAGAAGAAGAGAGAAAGAGAATAATAAATCTGTGTTTAAAGTGAATCGTGCGCTGCTTCTTCTTCTTCTTCTGGTTGTTTCTTTGTTTGGTGAAACATTTGATGTTTGGAATCTAATTAAATAAGTTTCTACCATACGATCCTTGAACAACATAATAAGAAAGTGAATCATGTGATGTGTAGGACTAGGTATGAGTCTGATAACGAATATAATATTGGGGTAGAGAACAGAATTTAGACTACTATTGGGGTCTAAACGAAATTATATAGAATCGTGGCTTAACTTGGCCCACGAGACCTAAGCCCATATTTAAAAAGAATTAGGGGTTTCAGAAACCAGTTTTATTGTGGAAGTGAATTGTCTGAACTTCATCATGTTTGCTATTTCTGAATTGGTCGGAATCTGCAATTTCTGAGGTAAAGGTTTCGTTTTCAACATTGATTTTTGCTGACGATGAGATCTACGACGATTTGATTGAAGAGGATTCGGACGTTTGGGTCTTTCAGGTTTGGCTCCTAAGTTGAGATTTCTAAGTGTCTTCCTCCCTCGTCCCTCCTCACCTTCTTATTTCTGCCGGTGAGTTGCAGTTTTCTTCTCTCCGGTCTGTAGCATTCTATTGAATAGTTGAATTAAAGTACGCCTATGTATAGCTCTGATCGATAGGGTTTCACTTTCCTTAGATTGTGTTGTAGGCGTAGTTGCAACTTTCTGTTCTGGCTTGCTTAACATTGTGCTTCTCTGTCGATTATGTTCGGAACTGTTCTCTGAGCACCGAATTCATATCCTAACACATCAATCTAGATATACATTTTAGGCTTAACAAAATAACATTTTCTGCTTTATGCTTGCTTCTTAGTTCCTCAGATATTCTTGAAAAATCCGCAGATTGCGTGATGGAAATGGTATTTTGAAACTTTCGGTTCTGTTTAGATTTGTGGAACTCATGTCTAAAACCTTGTAGGTAGAGGACAGGACAAGAAGCCCAGGCAGCAGCAACCATGGTGATGGTGTCTAATTCTACTCATCACAACAAGGAAATACATGTTAGAAGGAGGATCTCTGAGATGTATTCTTCGTTCTGGTCTTTTTCTCTCGTTGCATATCATGCTTGCCTGTGCAACTGGTGTGATATTAGTCATCCCCTTGATGAATCTACTGCGTATTGATCAGTATAGACTGTTAGCATGTGTAGTGCAAAAATTTCACATTCTTTAGAAACTTAAGGTAATACAGAAAATATTTTGTACACTGCATACACTTGATGAAGCAATTCCACCAATCTATGACAGGAATGACAGGCTCTATTGTTTCCTAGTATATCTTAGCATAAAAATGGAGATCTTTAGTCACATTTTTGAACAGTTGAGAATTAGAATTAGGTATCAGTTTTGTCATTCTGTAGAAGCAGAGTATGTACAGCCTCTTGAGTATCATGTTTTATTCTTTCTGGTGATGCAGATACAATAGACGGGAAGAGGATTTTCCATCACTTAAAGACTACAATGACTACTTGGAAGAAGTGGAGTGCATGGGTTAGTTTCACTTGTGCTCCTTATTTTCTTTATTCTTGCGAGTCAAGACCAATGTATATATATATATATCTTCTGTTCCACCAGTATTCGACTTGATAGATGGAATCAATGCTGAGGCGATTGAGGAGAAGATTAAGAGATATTCTCAGGAGAATGCTGAACAGATCATGATTAATCGAGCTCGCAAGGTAGTGCCTACGATAGCCTTACTTTTTCTTATCTTGGTTAGATGAATGAGTAGAGGAAAAGAAAAGAAGATTGAAAGCATGTTTGATTAGATTTCATTTCACTGTGTCATCTTGATTTCCGAATACAATGCGTTTTGACATTATGAACTTATCAGACCTCAAGAAAAGCTGCACAAATAGAAATAGTCTTTGTTTCATTCTCTATTCTACAACTACAGCCTAACTCTGCAATTTGCTCCAACAGGCTGAAGAATTGACTGCAGCATTGGCAGCTTGCAAGGCCCAACCCCCACAGACAGATGCTGACACGGTAAATTGGGTTTTGATTTTCATATCAGCAAGAAGATGGAGACTCCTGACAAATCTTTTTGCTTGTTTATGCATTGTAGTCGTCAAACCATGGTGTTACTGCTGGAACTGCATACGGTCAGGCTCCACGACCAACGGGAATGGGCCCACAACCGGTACCTATAGTAGGAGGAGCAGAGCGTCGACAATACTCTATGGAAGAAGAAGCGAAGAAGAGGCTCCTCAAAGCAGAGAGAGCTCCATGGGCTGGAGGATTTTCCTTAGAGATAAGTAAGAGGAGGGCTTTGGAAGAAGCATTTGCCAGCATTTGGGTTTGATTCCTCTTGAGAGATATTAGTTTTATCCTTTTAAAACAGTGACGAGGAGGTCTTAATTGGTTGTTTGGCTTCGAGTATGGAAGTAATTAGAGTTTCCATTGTTGTCTCAAGTTCTTTGTCTGTTACTCTTATTTATGGTCTCTGTTTGTATAGTTGACAAGACTCAATCACACAGATTTCTCCAACACCATTTCTTCTTGAGACTATACTCTAATAAAAGTGGAATTTTTTTTTTTAGCTGGTCCGACCAAAAGCTGGTTCAACAATGAATATGATTTGATTTCCGGTTTACTAAGAATAGTCGAGCAATCCCAGAAAGAAAGAAGCTATCTTGCTGCAGCGAGAAGCTCTTCTTCTATCCTCTCATTATCCCTCTCATCTTCCACTTAATCGTCAAGTTTGAATCTTCACCAGTTGATTTTGAATTCATTTGTTGTATACAGATGTGCTGGTAGCGACTGCTGATGGGTTCCTTAAGATTGTCCATTCCATTGGACCCATTCGACTCAAAAAGGTTTCACTTTTCTGCGAACCCATTTCAGTTTCCTGATCAAGTTCCAATTTTTTCAGTTAGCACTAGTGTTCCCGCCACTAGAATCGGTTCTCTGATTAGGGTCAAGAAAATTCGAGTATCTCGTCTCGATATTGAAGCAAAGGAGGCCGAGAATGCTATTGATTCTGATTCCGTTAATGTGGAGAGAAGCTCGAATTCTAAACTGAAAGGTAGTAATACGGTCACGAGTGGTAATCAGAGAGGGACAAAGAAAGATGTGGCTCGAAAGTTCAGTTTCCGAAGAGAAAGCAATGATCTTGAGCTTGAGAATTTGTTTGTGAACAATGGGGAAATGGATGTTAATTACTCTGCTATTAAACCTGGTTTGAGTTTAGAGCATTACAATGCTATATTGAAACGGCTTGAGAGTTGCAGTGACACTAATGCCATCAAGTTCTTTGATTGGATGAGATGTAAAGGAAAATTGGAAGGTAACTTTGGTGCTTACAGTTTGATTCTTAGAGTTTTAGGAAGGAGGGAAGAATGGAACCGAGCAGAGGATCTGATCGAAGAGTTGTGTGGATTTCAGGGCTTTCAGCAGAGTTTTCAGGTCTTCAACACGGTTATATACGCTTGTACTAAAAAGGGGAATGTGAAATTAGCTTCAAAGTGGTTTCAGATGATGTTGGAGCTCGGTGTTCGACCAAATGTGGCTACAATAGGTATGCTCATGGGTCTTTACCAGAAGAACTGGAATGTTGATGAAGCGGAATTCGCATTTTCTCATATGAGAAAATTCGAGATTGTGTGTGAATCTGCTTACTCCTCAATGATAACGATTTACACACGCTTGAGATTATATGAGAAAGCAGAGGAAGTTATAAACTTGATGAAACAAGATAGAGTGAGGCTGAAGTTAGAGAATTGGTTAGTGATGCTTAATGCTTATAGTCAGCAAGGCAAAATGGAGCAAGCTGAATCTGTATTAATCTCTATGGAAGCTGCGGGTTTTGCTCCGAATATTATTGCATACAATACTTTGATAACTGGTTATGGTAAGGTTTCTAAAATGGAGGCTGCAAAGAGTTTATTCCACCGCCTCTCTGATATTGGGCTGGAACCAGATGAAACAAGTTACAGGTCAATGATTGAAGGTTGGGGCCGCGCTGACAATTACGAGGAGGCAAACCATTACTATCAAGAGCTGAAGCGGTGTGGATATAAACCCAATTCATCCAATCTTTTTACTTTAATCAATTTGCAAGCTAAATATGGAGACAGAGATGGTGCTATTAAGACGATCGAAGATATGACTAGTATCGGATGCCAATACCCCTCGATCCTTGGCATCATTCTGCAGGCTTATGAGAAGGTGGGGAAGATTGATGTGGTGCCTTATCTTCTCAAAGGTTCTTTTCATAATCATATCCGTTTAAACCAGACTTCTTTCTCGATTCTAGTGATGGCATATATCAAACATGGTATGGTTGATGATTGCTTGGCGTTGTTGCGAGAAAAAAAGTGGAGAGACTCAGCATTTGAGTCCCACTTGTATCATCTGTTGATTTGCTCTTGCAAAGAATCTGGTCAACTTACTGATGCTGTGAAATTATACAACCATACAATGGAATCAGATGAAGAGATAAATCTGCACATTACGTCCACAATGATTGACATTTATACTGTGATGGGTGAATTTGGTGAAGCGGAGAAGCTTTATTTAAATTTGAAATCTTCTGGAGTTGTGTTGGACAGGATTGGATTCAGCATCGTGGTGCGGATGTACGTGAAAGCCGGATCCTTGGAAGAAGCCTGTTCTGTCCTAGAAATCATGGATGAGCAGAAAGACATTGTTCCGGATGTGTACTTGTTTCGCGATATGCTTCGGATATATCAGAAGTGTGACCTTCAGGATAAACTCCAGCATTTGTACTACAGGATTCAAAAGAGCGGGATCCATTGGGATCAGGAGATGTACAATTGTGTTATAAACTGTTGTGCGCGTGCTCTTCCGCTTGATGAACTCTCAAGAACTTTTGAGGAAATGATTCGATATGGATTCACTCCTAATACAGTCACATTCAATGTCCTCCTTGATGTTTATGGTAAAGCGAAGCTCTTCAAAAAGGTTAACGAGCTTTTCTTGTTGGCGAAAAGACACGGAGTTGTGGATGTAATATCTTACAACACCATTATAGCTGCCTATGGAAAGAACAAGGACTTTACAAACATGTCATCAGCGATTAAGAATATGCAATTTGACGGGTTTTCTGTGTCACTTGAAGCTTATAATACTTTGTTGGATGCATATGGGAAAGATAAACAGATGGAGAAATTCAGAAGCATCTTGAAGAGAATGAAGAAGTCTACTAGTGGACCGGATCATTATACATATAACATCATGATCAATATTTATGGTGAGCAAGGATGGATCGATGAAGTTGCTGGTGTTCTGAAAGAATTGAAAGAGTCGGGACTTGGTCCTGACTTGTGTAGCTATAACACGCTGATAAAGGCGTATGGTATAGGTGGAATGGTTGAAGAAGCTGTTGGGTTGGTGAAGGAGATGAGAGGAAAGAACATAACACCTGATAAAGTAACTTACACCAATTTGGTCACAGCTTTGCGCAAGAATGATGAATTTCTTGAGGCTATTAAATGGTCTTTGTGGATGAAACAAATGGGTATATAGAATAGCTTGATTTTCTTTTCTGTTTTTTTTTTTTTTTCTGTCTATAATGGCTGCTTCTTTTGATAAGAATCCAAATGAGGCATGCGTGAATATATGAACAGTGACAAAAATGTTAATGTATAAGTCTCAATGCAAGATTCTTCTAGTCTCTTTCTATCTTTCAGAAAGTAAAGTTCCTTGCTCTTTTTTGTTCTTCAAAGAAAGGTTATGTCCAGGCTTACGGTGGTTATAGATATATTTACCTTGTTTAAAGAGAGCCATCAATGTTTTGGTTAGAACCAGCGCAATCATGTAATGTGTTCTTAGGTTTCTTCTATTAGGAATAAAAGATGGACTGTAGTTCATCCCCAACGGAAGAATAGATTACTTGCATTCCAAATCAACCTTTAGTTCTCGTCTTTATAACTTGTTGACCAAGAAAACAGTCTGATCAACTGTGAGTCTTTTGTATTTCTCTTCAATAGATATACACACACAAACAAGTAATCCACAAGATGATGTTTTTGCTAATTGTCACTCATAAGACAATCTACAATTGTGAGGCTTTATACAAAGATTTACAGATTTCTACTTTAGGCAAACAAAAACAGAACACAATGATATACACTCAAATCAAACCAAAACTTTGCCCTGTACCTTTTTTTCTTTGTCTCATAGCCAGAAGTAAAGCATTGCCTGTTTCAATAAACATGCCAAATATTTGTTAGTTGTAATCAAACACTAACTAAATTTTACCAGTCAAAAATCCGAATGAATACCTCTTGAACAGAAATAATGGTTGGGTCGACCCAAGGTTGTAAATTCTCCATTGTATTCAAGCTCTTCTTTACTTCAGATGATTGCACAAAACTTTGCTCCTCCTTCACTTCCTTCAGTAGACTTATTATCTCTTCTTGCTTAATCGCTCCACTAGTTTCAGGCTCTGTGTTAGTTTTTCCTCGCTCAAGCCGCTCTACTCTCTGTCTCAACCGTTGCAATTCAGCTTGATACTCTGCACGGTTTCTCTTGCCGCTTCTTTCTCTTGTCTGTTTAGATGACTTCTTCTCTAACTTCGTCTGCTTTGAGACCTTTATCACCATTGTGTCATCAGTCTTACATAAACCCTTTGCTTCCTTTTTTCTTTCTTGTGTATCTTCTTGAAAGTTTGATGAGCTTGCATAATCTTCTTCTCCCTTGTTTAAACAAGATTCAGACACTGAAGTCGTGTGCAGATCTCGCATCGAATCTCTAAAGCCTGTAAGCTCTTTCACTTGCTCATTCAGTTTCTTGATCTGCTCCCAATACACATCTAAGGAACTCTTCTGTGATTCCAAGCTCTGCTCAATAACTTCCTTCTCATCGGGAATCGAAAAATCTGTAACCAATTCAGGAGAGGGTGTTTGAGATCTATCACTCAATGACAAATCATTCATCTTCATAATATTCTCATCATCATGATCATCATTCTCTTGAAGCTTAACATCTAAGCTATTCAAATCACTAAACCCCAAGCTCAAAAGCTGGCTTCTATAAACTTCCACTTGATAAGCAAGAGCAGTGACTTCAATCTCTTTCTGGTAAATCACATCCTCCAAAAGCGCAAAGGACATTTCAGCGTGAGACATTTGCTCTTCAACCATTCTCTTGTACTGACCAGCTTCCATTGCTAGCTCAGCTTTCTCTCCTTGCAGCCTAAGAATCATTGACATGGCCTCGTTCGCTGACGTTTCAGATGCTTCTCTCTCTGCATTCAACTCATCTTGGAGCCTCTCAATTACTTCTTTGCGCTCATAAAGAGCGATTCTTAGATCAATTGTCTCAGCTCCGGGTAGTTTGAAGCTGCGGCTTCGTTCAACCATGTCTCTGCAAACACAAATGGAAGACAGATTTATAGATACATAATGATCTGTAATTGTTACTTCATATAAAACAAGAAACAAATCAAAAGATGAAGCAGAATCTTGATAAGAAAAAAAAGAATATCATTGTACCAGGAGAGTTGCAGAAGAGGAATTGATTAATGAACTTGCAGATTTTGGTATGAGGACTAATTTAATCTCTTCAACAGAGGAAATGCTTCAGATAGAAGAGATGATGAACATTTTCTGATGAATTAACAAAAAAAAAAATTAGATAATCAAAGAGGAAATTATCCAAAAAGGGAATATAATCAAATCACAAAAGGCACGCCGGACCAAAACCATTATGATTATGTGCCAAAATCAAAGTAGACAAAACTACAAAACATCTCAGATCATAAACAGGACAAAGTTGTTCAACTTTTCTCAGCATAAAGAAGAATCAATTTGAGAGTTCGAATGAGAAATTCTCATGAACAAAATTCCTACAGGGAAAACAAAAATGAAAAAGAAAGGGTCTTTTATCAAAAACAGTAAAAAATCAAGTAAAATAATGATGATATTCTGGAATATCTTAAGAAAAGAGCTGGAACATATTTGGTGAAATAATCTTTGAATGATTAAAGCTTAGTGAGACCATTAATTTTTGTTGCGTGGGACATGTCTTACTTCTCTTTGTTTTGTGGTTTGAAAAGTTCTTGTTGCCAAATTCTAACCTCTTAAAGAATTGAAAAAGAAAACAAAAAGAGAGAGATTCAGGATTTTCAACGGCTCATTACAGGGCCAAGTATTAGCTCCGGTGGGTCCTACTATGGCCGACTTCTTTTCTGCCACGTGTCATAGTCGGGTTTGAGGTTTAACTCGGTATATACACTACAGCGACAGAGATTCAGAAGTAAAATTGAAGCGAGAATATCAAATTTTCAAGATCACACTAACTTTAAGATGAATACAAAACTCTGTTTCAGCAGATCGTTATTAAGATCTTGTGTTATAATGAAACTTATAAACACATTCAACTTTCGATGCCATCATCCTCTTCCTTACACTTGTCTCTCATCATCTATCACCACCTTCCTCAATTTCTTCATTGTTGCTCACAGAAGAAACCCAAAACATATTGTATCGTGCATTGTTATACTTTACTACGGCCTCGAGAAGACTGCAATTGATTCCCACTCTAAGCTACAGATCACATCCTGTAGAATACAATGTATCAGCTTGAGAAAACACACTTGATCGAAGTAAACTAGTAGGTTGAAAGAGGGTTAGATGATGTTTTCACCTGTGGATTTTGTCTGTCGATGTCAAAACTGTTAATGGCACAAGGTTCGGCCAGAAGCTCGATTGGTTCTTCCCCTGAGCAACATAGCCAGGACAAAAAAGAAAGAGGAAACATCAGTTTGGTAAAGCATACAGGAAAGAAGAAAAAAGGTGGTGAAAAGGCCTACGGACCTTGTTCAATGACACCAAGGATTCCATCTTCAGAGCAGGTCATAACAGGGAGAATTCTTGATGAAGAGATGTTGTTGGATTTTGTGTACGAGTCATATTGAACCTCCCACACTTCACTTTCAGACAGAGGATTGTTTATATTCTCACTTGCTCCAACACCAGAAAGAACGATGGGCTGCTGCGGCCATCGAAGATCCCAAGCAAATACAGTACCTGAAGAACCTCCCGCCTAAACACACAACAGCATCAAGATGAAGTTATCAAATAATGCTTATAACTTGTGGGGATACTAACAGCTACACTGAACTTTTGTTTGTGATGTGAGCAATAAGTAAATGTTCGTGAAAATAGTGAAGGACTAATTTTAAGGTATCAAGAAGATATCTGCCTGTCACAAAGTGGCTTATTATTCTAACACCAAAACAAAATAATTCACTTTCATCTCAGAAGAAAGACATGTAAAATTGTTCCCGACATTAGTAATATGGCAATATGAATACCCAATATTTGGCAAAAATTGAGGTTCACGCTAGAAATTCTCATATTCATCAATTTATAATGAAGAGGTTGGTCAACTTCAAACAGATGAGAGCTTAAATCAGACTTCTAACACATGCCAGAAAAAAAATACTCACAATGCAAGTGTGCTTCCGAGATGGATGAATGTCAATAGAGTGGACAATAGCAGAAGTTTTTCCTTGAAACCTGCAATATTACCATCAAATAATGAAACACAGGAAATGCATTTTTTTAAAAAACCATTAAAGCAAAGGATTCATATTTCCCATTCTTAGTTTTCCTTGCTAGGCAGCTCACAAAATCAAATTATAAGAGTGTGTTTTCTAAGTTCTAAACTCAAACAAACAAACTTTCAAATTCCACATCATTGAAGAGCAAACATGCCAAGAATTCAATACCAAATTGACCAAGCATTTATTCAACTACTAAACAAACCCTTAAACAGAGCTCAGAACTCACCAATTCCCTTTGAGCTGTGAGGCAGCTTCACCAGACTTCCTCTGATCCCACAATTGCAAACCAAAACCATATCCTCCAGTAACAAACTCAGTCGGAGACGCCCATTTCACAGCTCTATAAGCCACCAATCCATTCCCATCAAAGACCTTCCTATATCTTAAACCTTCACCATTCACAATCTTCACTACATTCACTCTCCCATCTTCACCAACAGTCACACATTCTCCTCCCTCCCTCCAATCCACACCCTCCACGCGTCCCACATGAAACCTCTCCCCTTCCGCCACGTAAACCTCCTCAATCGCAGCTCCTTCCACCAAATCAACCATCAGAACGTGAAGAGAACCAGAAGACGTGGCTGCTGACACCATAGGTTTGAATGAACCGCCGCCACCGCCGTTTCCGGCGACTTCCAGTGAAGAAACGCGAGAAGGTGTAGTCCATGAAGATAAAGACTCGATTAACGGGTTCGTGTTCTGATTCCCTTTAGGGTTTGGGTCGAGCGATTGGATCTCGATTGATGAAGAATCACAATCCGGGTCATAGAACGCTGTTGCGAAGAAACGATTCAAAGCAGAAGCTTGTGGAAGCCATCTAACTCCATCCACATACTTCGATTGTGGAATCCTATGGACCTGGAACGAATCCTGCAGCATCTCCATAGCTCCAGAGGTTTTCTAGGGTTTTAGCGGAGCTAAAAGAGAACAATGGTGGGAAAATTAGAAGCTTCAGAAATGTAAGTTAAATTACCAAAGTACCCTCATTCTTTAGCTGTTATCACAAAAACAACATTGCCTTATCATCATGAGTCTGATGATCTTATTCCGGGAAAAGTGAAAATGCTGACCTTACAACACAGTAACAGTAGCTTCATCTCATTCTGTCCTAACGACAACAAACTCCGAAGTTTTGCTAATGGCTTCACGGTAATGTCGAAAAGGAAAGACTTTTCAGAGAAATCAAACGAAGAACGACCCGTCTTGCTAATCAAAGTCCCCAACACAATCCTCGCTCGATCTGCGATCGCTGTTCTGGGTTTGGGATTCATCGATGCTGGGTAAGATTTTTTAACACTCAAAGCACGAAAATTGCAGAGTATATATAATTCTTATCATAGTTTTTCTTTAAATCTCTTCAGGTATAGTGGTGATTGGTCAAGAATAAGTGTGATCTCCAAAGAAACAGAGGAATTGTTGAAGATTGCTGCTTTTCTTGTTGTTCCTCTCTGTATCTTTCTTGCTCTTTCATTTTCCGATGAATCAACTGATTAGAGGTTCCTTGATTCTTTCTATACACTCGATAAATAGATCTTTGTATCATGAATTTGCTTATGTAATCTAGGAGCTTGAACAATAATACTTGTAAGAGAAAAGTGAGTTTTTGTTTACTTTTGAGTAACTTGGATAGTACATTGCGTCTTCTATGGGGACACACATACATTGATTGATACATTGAAAGTATCACTAAATGTTTTACAATGAGTTAAAAGGCACAAGAAGGAGAAGCCCGTCGAAAATCCATGATAAGAAGACTGGCAACACTATGAGCAAGAGCTCCTAAGACTACAAACACATGGAATATCTGATGGCTATGTCCTGCAATATCGAAAGCCCCAGGCTTCCATCTTTCAGGTATGCGGGTAACATAAAACGCTGCTCCTGTTGCATACAACACAGCCATGGCAAGTTCATATACGAGAGCGATAAGCACGTTTGGGTGATCCTTATGAAGGTAAAGCACATGTGAGGCCGGTATTACGCCAGAGAATCCCATTGTTAGGAAAAGAGCTGCTCTGAAAGATCTGAAACGTGGAGCTGAAAGTGATGGAGAGAGGAGAGTGAAGATGGCGAGGAGACCGAGGATTGAGATCGACGAGAGGTAGAAGAGTCGCCAGTAAGTATGGCAGGAGAATGCGTAGTAGATAGGTGCGAAGAATGAACAGACGATCATGAGGGAGATTCCGGCATAGTCTAGACGCCAGAAAAAGAGGTTGAATCGTCTAGAGTGGCAGGCGAAGAGGTGAGACATGGAACTGCAGATCAAGCAGCCCATTGCTCCGGATAAGAACACGAGCCATGGCCATTTAGGAACGGCTTCGTAGTTAACATCTCCTTGAGAATTCAGGAGTGAGCGAGTGTGTGTCACATTCAAATCCTGCAAGTAGACACCACCAAATACAAATAATAAGTTTTATTTGACAAAAGACCAGCCTTTTTTTTCTTAAACCCGTTGAAAAAAATCATGTTAGTTGGAAAGTTAGGTGAGCGCAAAGAAAATCTACAGAAAACTAAAGTGAGAGAAACATCAAATAGTTGGGGCAGGTTATAAGAACGTTGCAAGATTTATGCCAAAATAAACAAATCCAGGCATAAACTTCTTCCTTAATTTCCGTAGAAAATCACGTGATTTCAAAGTAGGTGGGGCATAAAGCATGTCTACAGAAATTGAAGTATCCATTAACCAAAGTTAAAAAAACAGAAAGATAAAAAAAAATCCAAACTAAACATCACATGGCGGGTGAAAGTTACCATTTAGCACTACTACAAATTGCAATCAGCATTTTATATGAGCACACAACAAAAATGACATTCGTTAATGGAAAGCACTTATGTTGCATGTCTACTACTTTAAAATTAGAATAAACAATGACACAGAATATCAAAGGAAGAATCTTTACGTGATGCAGAGTTTGATCGCTGGAGAAGTAAACATCTTTTGACATCGCCATTGACGGCCAAGGCCAGCGAATTGTTGTTCTGTCATTAGGACCCACACACAAAGCCCACAAAGATTAAAAATTGTTTAATTTTCTTTCTCAGAAAAATACCAAGCAAAAACGAAATGACGATTTTGACCTCAAGATTTCTTACCCGGAGAGAAGGCTAACGAAGCCGGTGAGGCCAAGCTCCGTCGTCTCCAGGGAACTCACAACCATCATCCAAGCAAATATCGCAAACCCACACAAATGCCTGCCAAATTTCAAAACCCCGAGGACAAATTTTCAAAATTCAAATCCCAAATTTCAAAATGAACCAAAAGAATTCACAAAAAAAAAAACGCAAACATACGTCCAGATGTTGAGAGTCTCATTGTGCCATGAGAAAGCGCTGAGGAAAGTTTCTTTGATTGACCACTCACATCGATAATGATTGTGTATGAACTCGTTATCTTTCAAATACCTAGGTAACTCCTCAAACTTCATCAATCTCTTCTCAGATCTCTTTTTTTCGCCGGAATCCAAAACCTTCCCATTTCTCACCTTTATCTTCGGAGATTCCCTCACCGTTCTCCGTTTCTGCATGATTCCCCTCCCTCTCGCAGCTCGTCGGGGGAAAAGGAGGAGAAATCGAGCGACGAAATTGAACTCCGGCGAATCAACCACCACCGTCGATTTCTCTCTTTTTATCAATATTTCAGAATCTGATTTGTTTTTTTCCGATCTTCGTGGTACGCTTCGTCGCCTACTTATACGGAGAAGAAACCTCTTTGAATTTTAAAACCGAGCAAGCTTCGTGATTTTTTATCTACGTGGCGGCTTTGACCGGTCTTTTACGACACGTGTTATTTTCCCATTGGTTTGTTAGTTTCGCTTTAGTGTGAGGGAGGATACAGCTGATTATTTTTACCCGCCGTGTCAATTTGAAACAAATATTAAAGTTACAGTTGGAAGGTGAGAAATGCAGAATTTGTGGTCTCTTTAAAGTTTAAACTATAGTCTATAATTATTAAATCGAGAACTTTGTTTTTACCCCTCAAAAGGTTTTTTATGGCCTGACCTCATACACTTCTCGAAACCAAACATGTGATTTAATCACATACTTCATAGACTTGCGAGTTCACGTTCGGACCAATACTGAGATAGAAAATACACTTGGTGTTTTATGATGTATTAATCATTCTCTTAATAACATTATTGAGTAACTAAAAGTCTAAAACATATATTTTCGTTTCATTTATACGTTTCCTAAATGATTTGATAATATGTGGAGTGTTGATCAAAACAGATTAAACGATGGGCCACAACGAGGTAAATTGAAAGAGTAGGTAACTTTTAATTGGTTTTGTGGCATAAGATTCTTCAAGGAGAGTTGATTCATAAGACAAGGCACCACGTACATCTCTATATTCAATTGGTATGAACATGGATTATGTTATTAATTTAGTTTAAAACGCGTCAAAGTTTGGATATTAAAACTCAAATGAATGGTTGGCTTACCAAAGAAAAATATAGTTGGCCCAGAATTCGATGTTGCCATGTTACTACTACATTGCTACATAGTTATCATCAAATGTTCCAGATTATTTTTAATTTCTACTTTCATAGTAACACCACAATGAACGGTGAGGAACCATCGATTCGGACTAAACGAGGATAACAAAATCTTACTAGTAACGAGTAACAACAAATCAGGGAACAAAAATCGAATGGTATCCAAATAAGCTCAGATCACCGTACGAATATAGTTATAATTATTTATTGTAATTCAAATTTGATAATATAGATAGAAGAATATCTCAACATAGCCTAAAAGAAACATTCAAGAAAAGAGTGTAGTATTTTCAAAAGATTTGTTGTATATCACACAATTTGTATGTATATTGTTTTCTGTATATTATATACAAAGTTGTCGTGAAGTGAACATATCATCTAGTTTGCTTAGTTGGTCCGTTTTTCATCTAAATCGATTCTTAGACGCCATAATTTCTTGCTACTAGGATTTAAGAATAAACTATATACAACACGAATGAGTAAATTCTTTGGATTAGTTAACGATTACTCATTATCTTTGTAAAGTGTATAAACAAAGGTGAGTATTGCGTGGTAAACTGTGGAAACCTAGACACAAATATCAATACTTTACTAGATTTTGTTGCTAAATATAGTAAAACAAAACAATTTACGCCAGGTTTTGTTTGAGTATAGTAATCAAATGAAAACTGAATTATGTATATTGTTTCAAGTTCATATATTTTTTTGTTTTGTCTTAAATTCATTTGATTACATGATCTTATCAAAATTTAGACAATGAAAAGTAACGAAATTAATGTTATACAAACCTGATTAATCCGTTTATCTTTCACTATATGTAGTTTATTAAAACACACCTAGAATTTATAACTAACAAACCGAACACTGATCAATCAGATATACTTCAAAATCATGGTTTGATTAATTTTTGCTATTTGTTCAATTCTGTTTTACTAACATTCATCGTTGCGTGTAGCACTGTCATTGGTAGATACGAATGTGGGGGTTTTTAGTTGGTAGAGAAATCTATCTATATATACATTTTTGGATGACTTTTAGCAAATAAATCCTGGAGTTGGAATGTATTTACAAACAATGCCATTGGAGTTAATTCTTAAGATTTGAAAAAATTAATTAAAGATATTATTCTAAAGATCGTTCCTCAAATCTCCTCCAACTAATTACTTTAAAAATCTCGATAATAACTATTCCGTGATTTACTGTAATCTTCAAATATATTTGGTATGATTTCTCATAATTAAAGATCCATCATTAATTGCAATAATAAATAAAAACAATAATTTCCTTTTATTTTAAAAACTTTCTAACGACAAATGTATTGCAAAATAAATAATTTCCTAAAACAATTACAGAACCTAATAACTGTTGTAGACTTTTTAGGAAAATAATTACGTAAATATATAACTTAAAGATAACAATTACTCATCAAATCTTTTTTTTTTGTTAATATTGTATCATAACAAGACCTAAATCAATGGACTACTTATTCTCTATATATAAGTGAGGTTATTTAGTCATCAAATCAATGTGCATGGTTCCACTCTCGCCGTCCCTCAGCTCTGCAAATCATTTGCTTCATTTTCTACATGTCTTGGACTAAGGTTCTTCCTATTCTTCTTTGATTTGAATCAATTACATCTCTTTTTTTTTTTTTTCATAAATCACTCACTTTCATCTTTCTATGGCTTTATGTTTGATAGCCTCACGTTGAATTGAGGAGCTTCCCAGTGTATTCGGAAACTGGTCCTTCTACGTTACCTTAATCTACATGTTTTTGTGTTTGGACAAATGAGGAAATGATTCTGATTTTTATTGTTTTGGTATATTGGTTCATGTTTGAGTGTGAAAATATTTGCAGGGTTAACCATAATCCGTTGTAGCTTCTTAATATTGATTTGGAGATGCTCTTAGTATTGATTTGAAAATTTTCTTTGGTTTGTTTACTAAAAAATATTTAGTGGTTTACCATCAAATGAAAAAATCATGTGATAAAATAACCTTTATAGATTAATCTATATTTATCAATTTTTTGAGTAAATCGATTTCTAAATATATTTATTTTAATGTAGATTAGTTAAATTATGGTTAATATTCGTTATTTGACAAACTCATTTGGCTATATTACTTATTTTAAACCAAACTCATTTTGGCAATAAATAATGTTTATTTATAAATTAGATTAACCCCCAAAAAATTATTACCAAATATATAAAGATTATTTATGTCTAAAGAATAATATGTTGCTTTAGATTATTATTATTTATAAGGTTTCAAATATTATAAATATTTTAACCTTATAAGAAGTATAAATTAATAATATTTAAAGTATCTATAATATTTAAGTCCATAAAAAGTTTATAATATTAATAATATTTGAACACTATAAAAATTATAAATATTTATACTATGGAACCACTTAAAAGCAAACTTTTAAATTGACTCGAATTATATGTTTTCTAAACAAATGTGTTATTAAAAAAAATGATGTTTAATTTCACTGGACGGGGTTATATGGTGGGATGGGTTTAGATCGATAATAATACCGGAAGATATACCACGGGTTAAAATCCTAGAAATAATAATCAAAATTCAATATATAATCTTAAACACTAAACAAAACAAATAATATTAACAAAATAATTACAACTTAAAATTTAAAACTCTTTAGTTAAAACTCTTTAGTTAAAACTCTGTATTTACGGATGAATGCCATTGACATTAATTATTTAAATTTGAAAAATATTAATTAAAGATATTACCAACACGATTTCGAGAATCATAAATTCATATATTCCTTAATTTTCTGAGTCATTAATGTGATAATCTTTAGGAAATATTTCTCTGTAAAAAAAAAATCCACATTAATGAAGGCATTAAAATCGACACTAACAATTAAATTATTTAGATATTCAATTATTTTAAGATTCTTATATCTTATTTGATATTTTTTTTTAATATCTCATTCTTTAATTACTGCGTTTATAATTTATTGGTTGTTACCTATTTTTTGGTGAAATTTATTGGTTGTTACTTAATAAGTAATTATGGTGCGTTTATTTTAGTTAATATCTAATTTAAAGGATTTGTTTTCTTTTATTATTAATAAACGAATAACATGTATAGAAATAAAAGATTTTTCTTGCGACTCCATAATAAAAATATTAAACTCTTATTTTCTACATTTCTTACACATAATATCCTCTTATTCAATAACAAAAAATATATATTGCATATTTTTAAAAATATTTATAATATTTAAATTATATAAAAAGTTTGTAATATTAATATTATTTCAACTCTATACAAATTTAATATATATGTATATATATCTTATGGGAACCATTTAAAAGAAATTTTTAAATTGACTTGAATTATATAGCTTTTAAATAAAAGTATTATTAAAAAGAAAAATAACTAAATGATGTTTAATTTCACGGGACGGGTAATATGATGGGACGGGTTTGGGTTGATATTTATAAAAGATAGTATACCACGGGTGAAATCCTAAAATTAACAATCAAAATAATCTATCAAACAAATTACATTTTGATTTTTTTAAGAAAATATAGCCCCGCGGTGTACCGCGGGTTAAAATCTAGTTTAACAAGTAAAATAAAAAGTTTAGGGCAATTACAAAAATATTTGGAAATACAAGGACCTTTTGTATAAACAATTAGGACAAAAACTCCCGCCTTAAATTCCCTCCATATTTTTTCATGTCTCTTCGCTTTTCGCCTACCAACAAAGACAAAAAGTAACTGTCTTCCTCTTACTCTTCCATCTTATGTACTTACGAGTTTCAGATGTTAGATCTGGGAAACATGTCTTTGTCTGCATCTGTGGCTCTCACTTGTTGCCCTTCTTTTCTTCCGGCGGCTTCAGGCCCGGAATTATCCAAATCTATCGATTCCCCTGAAAATATAGCCGGAGACTGCAATGGGAAGCATTCACCGATGATTCCACCGGAGGAAGAGGTTAGAGACATTAAAACTGCTAATGGAGTCACTGCTTTTACCGGGAAACAGAATCCGTCTGACAGAGTCAAGAAAGGGTTGATTTTGGAAGATCATGTGAAGGATTGGGTCAAGAGAAGAGTGGCTTCTGGTGTTTCAGAGACGAGATGTTGCCTCCCTTTTCTTGTTGGTGCCAAGAAAATGGTATTTTGTGTTTTCTGTTTATTTAGTTATCTATTGTTTTGTGTGTTTTCCACCTTTTCTTGGTAGTTAAATTATGAGTTCTGCAATGGATTCTTAGGATATACATGGTCTCTAGAGTTATGAATTTTGTGTGAAGTATAGAATAGTATTGGATCGGTGATTTTGAAATGACCCTTTTTGGCTTTAGTTATGTCTGTGTAAGATTTCATATGATCTCTCATATTCATTTAGATATTGTTTGACTAATAGTTTACTATTTTAGAGTCATTCGAATCTTGAAGTCAATAAGTGACTTGGGAAGTATTTAGATTTATTGACATAATGACTATATTGGATTTGGTGTCAGGTTGATTGTCTTGTTTGCCATAAGCCGGTGTACCCGGGGGAAGAATTATCGTGTTCTGTTCGTGGCTGTCAAGGCGCTTATCACTCGCTTTGTGCGAAAGACAGTCTCGGTTTTTCTAAGTCAAGCAAATTTAGATGCCCTCAACATGTAAGATCCTCATTCATTGTTTAGATCTAAGGAAGATTTCTCTTCATTTTTATTGGCTTGCTTTGTATTCATCGAAGCATATCATATTTTGTTGCTCTTATTTTGGTAGAAATGCTCAGAGAAAAGATAGACCATCAAATAGGATACTTAACAGTTAGTTCTAAGTAACAGTGATTAGGTAGGGAATTGAAATGGATTAGTTTGAATGTGTGGTATCATTTAGTTTCATCTGATAGAATGGAGTATGCAGGACTGTTTTGTCTGCAAGCAAAGAACACAATGGCGGTGTGTTAAGTGTCCAATGGCTGCTCATGATAAACATTCTCCATGGTCAAAAGAAATACTTCACTTGAAAGACCAACCAGGAAGAGCAGTTTGTTGGAGGCATCCAACTAATTGGCGGCTAGACAAAAAGGTCGATTTTCCAGTTTACCGCTTTCATAAGATCCTACCTGAAGCTTCTTACGATTTGTATTTTTATACAGACTTACTCACATGACTGATAAATTATCTGTTGATTGAGCAGCATGCAGTTGCGCAGAGTGAGATGGAGGTCAGTGTTTCTTTGCCACGTACCAATGTGACTGAAATTAGGTAGTCTAGTGAAGGAAATTAATTCTTACATAGACTTGTCGCTCGAAAATCAAAAGAGGGAAGAGATTTGAAAGCTGGATATTTGTTTTTTCTTACACAATTTCAAGTGGTAGGCAAGTAATGTTTATCTACTTTCTTATTCAGGAGGTCTTTTGCCAGTTGCCTTTGCCATATGTGGAAGAGGAGTTTAAGATTGACTTAACATGGAAAGATTCTGTTGTGAAAGATGATCTGCCTCCTTATGTGCACATCAGACGCAGTATCCTTCATAGTTTCCACACATCTGTCTGTCGATTGAATTTTACTGCCTTATAAGTAAATAATTCTCATTTATTACTACATTGGTGTGTCTTTCCTTGACTGAGTTAAGATATTTACTTTGTAAAGAAGAAGCGTGATAATGCTAATGATGGTGTTGGGTGCACAAATTGTGGCCCTACTTGCTGTAGAAGCTGTGTTTGCAGGTATACTTATTGATTAACCAACAAATCTTCTCTGTTAACAAGAAATGAAATTTCGTTTGAATAGTTTCCGTTTTGTGAAATTTCTCTCAGGGTTCAATGCATAAGCTGTTCAAAAGGATGCAGATGTCCTGAAACTTGTGGAAACAGACCATTCCGCAAAGAGAAGAAGATCAGAATTGTTAAGGTAAAGGAAGTCCTCTATTTTATGACTCTTGCATTAAACATTGTTTTTATCTTGACATGTCATGTTATTGTTATTACAGACTGAACATTGCGGTTGGGGAGTAGAGGCAGCAGAATCAATCAACAAAGAGGACTTCATTGTCGAATACATTGGTGAAGGTAAACTATCTTGATTTGGTCTTTGAGCCATATGGTTGTGGTGGAAAGGGACATAGTTTTTAGTGACTGTTTTCACTCGATCCACAGTGATTAGTGATGCTCAATGTGAGCAAAGGCTTTGGGATATGAAACACAAAGGCATGAAAGACTTTTACATGTGTGAGATTCAGAAAGACTTCACGATTGATGCCACCTTCAAAGGGAACGCCTCTCGGTTTCTAAATCACAGTTGCAGCCCAAACTGTGTATTGGAAAAGTGGTAAAGCATACATTGTTTCATATAAATATATGTCGATGATGGTCTAGTAAGAGAGAATGAGTCAGTTTTAATACTTGTAAAATGTGTGGTTGTTTTAACAGGCAAGTTGAAGGTGAGACCCGTGTAGGTGTCTTCGCAGCTCGTCAAATAGAAGCAGGAGAGCCACTTACATATGACTATAGGTCAACTTCTGGACCATTGATGATGAGCTTAAATTATCTGAAATTCTGATATATTAGGTTGTTTTTTGCAGATTTGTGCAGTTTGGTCCTGAAGTAAAGTGCAATTGTGGTTCTGAAAGCTGTCAAGGTTATCTTGGGACAAAGAGGAAAGAGCCAAACTGTTTGGCTGTATCTTGGGGAGCAAAACGCAGAAGAGTGTTTCACCGACCTTTAGCCCATAAATTGCAGCAAGATTAGCTTCAACAAACCTTTGGAATATATGTGAGCGGCGTGCTTTGATACTTCTCTGTTGCAGTCTTGTAGTAATATTTGTGGAGTTTGTCTTTTGTATCTTTAATACCTTACGCACACATTACAGTCTACAGTACAACAATGAGCAAAAACTTGATTCTTTATGCATTGATGTTATGTGGTTACATAACATTCGGTATAACGTTTTGTAGATTGTATGTAGATGAAGTTTAGAGGCTCATCCGATCCCTATTGTATAACAATATATGTATGAAGATCGTCGTGTAGCTGTTAACATTCATAATTGACCGGTTATGCTTTTTTTGGTTATGCTTATTTCCTTTTTCTTTAGTCATTGAGAGACCGACTTCTATTTATTTCCTTATTTCATTGAGAGTCGTTAACGGGTGATAACATGTGTTAGAGATTCCGTTAACGACTGATAACGGCATATCTATTTTGACCTTGTCAACGAAGTCTCATGAATGTTAATCAACGTTTAGTTCATGTTTTAAATGATCACATATGAAGTTCATATTTAAAATGACCGCAATTTGAAAGTTGGAATATTAAATGAAAATTTTCTCAATTAAAAACCACTAAGACTAAGTACATCGGTTATAATATTACAACAACTCTCTTTTTACTTTTAACATTCCACATCATCTTTTCTCTTCCACATCATAATTCAACACATACTTAATTTTTACTATCTACAATGGTTGTGTTTAATAAAATTACAATACTTTATCTTCTATTATTTATTTTCGTTATGTTTTTGTTTTTATAATTACAAATTATTAATAACAATTAAAAAAAAAGTAGGAGTTAAATAATTTTATAAAATAATTATAAAGTATAGTAGAAAAATGCAGATTTTTTGTATGTGTTTAAAATAAATTAGCCAAGTCTCATTTTATAGAATATGAAAAATGATGAATTTTGATATAAAATTATATATATATATATATATATATATATATATATATATAATTAAAATTATAATAAAATAATTGATGTTAAATAATTGAATTGAAAAAAATCAAGAATGTGAACGACCAATCAATGCAATCCATCTGTCCCAATAATTTATCAATTCTTGCTTTTTTTTTTATCCTTTGCCACATGTCAAATAAGAAAACACCCACAAATTTTCAAAACCAATTTTGCAACATCATCTTTTTGTTATGTCAACAAAATATTCAACAGTTGAAATAATTTTTCAAATGTTGAAAAAAGTTGAAATAGACCTGGATTTCCCCAAAATATTCACATGTTCAAACTGATGGCCTTAGTCAATATAGACATCACTGGTCACAAGTACATAACAAACACATTCTAAATCACTTGGCCGTAAGGACCTTTGAGCACTGTGTCCTCACTTCACCTAGAGGAGCAGTCAAGACTTTAGGCTTGATAGCTTGGTCATGACCTTCTATGGTTTTATATATTTTCAAGGAAGAATAATCATAATTTAGGCAAAAATATAACGTTCATGTATCTCACTTTGTTTAATCAGATTCAAATATGTTTTCAATAAAAAGAGTACCACAACAATCATATATTAACTTTTATGTTTTTCTATATTTTCAAAAAAAATAATCAACTTATCACGATCAGAGATATCACATAGGGGTTTCAGTAAACTAAACAAGCAATTCTTGCCATCAATTCCTCTTTAAACCTCAACACTTTGTGCTCAACTAATAAAAGGTAAAGATTCCTTTGCACCTAAAACTCTCAAAAGAAAATATTTCTTGCATTTTCTTAAGTCTTCTTCTGTTATTACTTCTTTGTTTTCACTCTAATCATTCAACACTCTCTTCCTTACATATATATGCAATGCGTATGTAAAGTACTTCACATAAAACAAAAATGGCGATTTACTTTACACTTTCTCGCTCTCTATGTCTCTAGTTCTTTTGTCAGCATCACCAACTCTTGTTTCCAATCTCATTCACCCCAATCAAATCTATTCCTTAGAACCTCCACATGTCTACCGTATCGACGAAGCCTCTTTTGCACGTCTAGACTACTTACAAGCCAAGGCAACTGGAGACATCATTGCGAAACCTTCACTTAACATGGCAAACACTTTCTTGGTGAACATATCAATAGGCAGCCCACCAATCATGCAACTTCTCAACAGTATGATCTCAAAGCAATGACGGTTTTTTGGAGAGAATTGATTGTGGCGTCCTCTTTGATTATTGATTAAAAAAATAATATCATTTATGTTCCAATTATCTGATTAAATCATTGACCAGATCATGCAAAATCTATTTATCACAGTCGCTACTTTTAACAAGAGGATTCTTTGATTGTGTGAAAATAAAAATACAACTATGAATTATTGAGCTGTTGTTGGAATGCAGAAGAATAGACTGAAAAGATAACTTAGTAAAGAATAAATAGAAACAAATAAAGCATGTTTCAGGTCTCTCTCTAGACAACAAAAGCTCAAAAGAACACATAATAGAGTAATAATTCATTCACCCCAGACTAACTTGAATATATTCTTACTAGCTGATGCACATATTACATTGTTACTTCTATTTCTCAACATCTCTTCTTGCGCAGAGACATTCCCTTCCTTCAAAACAATGGAGAGATTGTTTTCGTTAGTTCAAGAGAGACTAGAAGTCATCGGTTTTCTTCAAGAAATACAACATTTCGAGATCTTAGGTAAAAGGCTTACTAGATGAGAATACGCAGAAGCAAGAGACAAAAGCGTTGGATAACTATCAAGAACCGCTATGGCAATTTCCTCCGTTACCTGCGGGATCTGCAACATATACTTATCAATGGAATTGGATTCGTAGAACCATTCACATATAAAAGAACCGAAAAAGGCTTAGCCAGACAAAGTACCTGCATAAGCTGAATGGCAAATACATCGCTGATTGTCATTTTATCAAGGTCTTGACACCTTTTGACAAAACTATCAAAAGAAGGACACGAGGCTGCGACTTTGCTCTGGTCATTATCATTCACCCGTAACTTGTAGTATTGATATATTGATTTCGTGAGGTAGCCGTATTTCCTTAGCGTCTCACCCAGCCCTTGTGTCCTCAGCACATCAAATCCCTCCAGAATCTCTGTCGTGAAACAACTAGAAGCATATACAAAGGAAAAAGGTTTGGTTCCAAATCTCAAAGAAAAATGTACAGCCAATCAAAATCTTGTGTTAAAAAGATAATCTTACGCTGTTTTAATGCTTTCTGCTGCATCAGAATGGTTTGGATCCCCTTCAAGAATATATATGAGCTTCTTGAATCCCGATCTCTATTTAAAATTTCAATTTAAGAAGACAATAAGAAACAACCATCAACAAAAGATGGAGCAAGTAAAAAAACTTAAGGAGTTGCGAGTACACACACCTGAAGTCTAAGTTTTTGGTCTCTGTAGCGATTATCTCTAATTGATGAGCGCATATCATCCACGTTCTTCCTCTCAGCAATAAAGTCCAGAACATATTCAGTCTCAAGGTACTTATGCCGAGCAATCCAGATACAATCCCCAACTGGTAATCGTCTAACCTATAGATACAACAACAATTTTTCCAGTTAATTTCAGTAATTTCGAATCTGTTGACATCTATCCAAGAAATCAAATGCAAACCTCAATCTTGATATTGAATTCAGAGCATATGTTATCAACTATATTCCTGGATCGTGATCTGTGAAATAAGAAGGTATGATTAGTGTTCATTAAGAATAACGTAGCTAGGCTACTATCACACTCTCATAACCAAACCATAAGAAACCTCAAATAAATAAAGAAAAGATTAAATTAAATGTCCTACAAACCCCTTCGTGGCAAACTTTTCTCGATCATCCAATATCAAGATCACATCATATGCTTCCTCAAACGTTTCTCCAAATTGAAGAGGAGGGAGGCGTGGAATATTTGTTATTCCTTTGGTTCCATCTGATACCAACTTTGTAACCAGGACACAATAAAGAACAATTAACGCTGATTAGCAATCCAGTTTCTGGTGATCATTTAAATATATAGCTAATAATCTACTTAACTCAAATGGTTACATACAGAAGATGAGCAGGCTTTCACAGCATGACTCGATCCGGATGTACATGGATTTAAGGTGGGTCCATCATTGCAAGAGCGGAACTTCTTAGCACGAGATCCCTCAAGATCAACTTGACCTGAATTTGTAGCTAAGACATCATAAGATGAAACATACAACTTTTCTCAAACACAGCACTAAGCATATTATATCATATGCTTGATAAAGACCGTACGAGTTTGTGATTTAGAAGGTCCTGATGAATCTTTTCTTCTATTTCTTGAGTCCGGACAGGAATTATAAACCTCTGCTTGACGAAGATGGCACATTACAGAGAGCCAGAGAGTTGATGGATCTTTGTCCCCAGATCCATCTGAAACCTCTCTGAATGCAGCAACGACTTGTTCCTTAGAATAACCAAACGGTGTAAACTGTTGAAGAAAACCAATAATTTAAACAAAAAATTAATACTGGAGAAAAATATGTCACCTCACCCCCAATCAACACTATATAATAAGAAACTAAAGGTCCAAATACATTATGATGGAGTACCTTTTCAAGAATATCGCTTGGAATGGCTGATTGTGCCCTAGATCTGGGATCGACATATGGCTGTTCTTCTCTCATGGTAAAAGAACAGGTAGGATTTTGGTTAGGTGTTTTCTGTGCTTGCGGTGTAGGATACATTCCATCATCAGATAAGATGTCAACTGAATTAGGTAATCCAGATCGCACGATACATTCATTTGCAACTTCCCGACCTTCTACTGTCAGCATGTACCTAAGAAAAGAAACAATGAAGTCTCAAGATAAGCTCTACTTCTCCACAAAAATACAAGTCAAGGGCACCATAAGGCAGAGTTTCAGATATGAGTTACTTTGCTGGGTTGCTAGATTTCACCACTAATCCCTTCTGTATAAGTGTGGTCATGCAGCTCCATCCACTATACCACTCCCTCTTAGAGTGTCCAAGTCCTGCTTTCCCTTTTCCTTTCTCTGGCCTAGGCACAAGAATGGAAGAATAAGAGATACAGCAGAGGTTGGGTACAAAACCAACAGATTAGAGATTGGGAACATCATGATTGATTATACCCAACAGGAGAGTGTGAGAGCCCACTCGCGTCAGCAGCATCAATAAGCTCTTGTTTACGCATGAATTCTTTCCCATTTGTAGTCCTCCTGGTAACAAGAAAAAGATAACGGTCCTGAAGAAG